AATGGTACTCATTTATCTTAATCTAAAAATTACACCCAAAAAAAATGAGAACCCTAAAAATGAAGTATAAATTATAATATACCTCTTGAAGAAATTAGGCAATTGAAGAATGAAATTTAGATAGCCAAACCTACATCTTTTCTTCTTCCTCCATTTTTCCTCTCTTTTCTTCTTTTTTCCTTTGTTTCCTTTTCTTTTTCTTTCTCTGCTTCTCACGTTTCAGCCTTTGTTTCCTTTCCTTTGCTTTGCTTTTCTTTCTTCTTTCTTTTCTACTTCTCTCTCTCTTTCTTTCCTTCTTCCTTTTTTCTCCTTCCCTTTCTTCTTTTCTCTCAGTCTCTCTCGATCCTTCTCTTTTTTTTTCTTCCATGTGAAAATGGACTATTGAATATTTGAAAGTCAAGTCCCCAACTTATATATAACATAACATTTAAACCATTAACTTCCAATAATAGATAACAACATCCCCAACTTTAAATTTTATCCATCTTAAACCCTCGATATATTATCCATTATAAAATAAACCCCAAGAAAATAATTCATTCCATTTAAGTCCCTAATTAACTTTAACTTTGACTAATCAAACCTTTGACTTTGAATAAATAATATTGACTTCGAATGAATGGATGGATTGTAATAGCATATGCGTACAATTCGTCAATGGCTTTGAACCACACGACTCCAGCCCTGTGACCTAATCGAGCATGTACTCTGGAAACACATACCCATTCTCCTAGAATATAAGGGTGCTATGCTCGATGTCAACGACAAGTGCAAACCTGGTGCTGAGGATAATTGACTAGGAATGTTAAATGATATCAGATATTTTTAGCCAGATCACACAATAATTCCATAGTCATGTCGATATGCTACATCAGAAAAAGCCAATAAAAAATAGAGAGTCATTTAATTAAATCAACAATCAATTATGCGAACATAACAAATAACAATGAAAATACAATTACATCGTCGGCGAGCTAAGATGACTTCGTCGTTACATCTGCACACCACTTTCCAGCGTTTGGTATCTTCTTCTCCTTGATTGTGTAGCTATCTCTGAAATTTTAAAAAAAAATGTTACAAAAAGTATAAATGAGTTAATGTACTTTAGCAAAATCATAAAATATTTACTCGGGTTTAAGAGATTTGAACCATTCATCAAACGCTTGTTACCTAACGGAGTCAACCTTGTGGAACAGATTAGGGAACGTCCTCCTCTTTACCTCAGTCATGAAGGGAGATGATGTACTGTAACGACAACCATGGTGTCTTATCAACAACCAGCTCGGCATGTCAACAACATGCTTCTTATCCTTCTTCACCTCCAACGCCCCTCCCCGACAAAAAATGACATATTTTGTCGTGTCAAGCGTCCTCTCCTCATTTGCCACCCCCTTTGTCATATCATCTGCCACCGCAACAGTCACTGAATCCGTCACCGTCGGGGCCACGCTTTCCATCACTAGGACATCCCCCTCCACAAATGCCAAAATCGAATCAAACGCAGCATCCGATGGCCAGACAAATCATCATACCCTATGTGGTCCTCTTCTCTAGTACCTCCGCTCCCCCATTCGTCTCGAGAACCACCTGTCCTTTCGTCATCCCCTTACCAGCCTACTACGTTACCTCGTAGCACTACGCCTCAGTTTGAAGGTTTCCTAAATCGGCTCGTAGCGTTCTGATACCAAATAGTAACTGTGCTACTTTACCTATCATCTCTCGTCGAAGCTCCCTATCTCCTCTCGTAGTGCTCCTACCTCTTCCCTGATAACTGTAGTCAGATGTACAAACAAATCATTGGTGGAAGGTGATCTCTTCGGTGTAAGTAATCTCATCGGTACAGGTGATCTCTTCGGCATCGGCGATGGTCGATCTATTGGACGGAACTCCTACACAATAAGAATATTACAAATTAATAATTTAATTGAAATATTACCACACAAAATGGTAATCAACAAATTATATTCAATTAACATACCATATCTTAATCTAGGTCAGACTCAAGCATCTGGTCGTCGTGTGCAAGCACAATAGATAGTTCACGCACATAACTCTGGACCTTCTCCTCCATCGACGATGTCAACTCAGTGAGGATTTCAAGTGGCATATTAACATTTCAATGAGTTAATGATCATCTATTTAGGTTTTGAAATGACATACAATATAAATCGCAAAGGTATAGTACTCACCTCAGAATCGTCGAGGAGAGCTGATAATTGTTTGGCACTTGGCTTATCATGTGCTTGCCAATTATGCATCCGAGGACAGTATCTCTCACTTCTCCTCACCCACCTGCCAACGAAGGTGCGAACAGTCTCTTATACTTATATCTGCAACCCTTACAATTAGAATTATATATAAATTTAATAAAAAAAAGTAACATTCATTATATTAAACATTTACTTGCAATGTCAACGGCCCATATGCACGTACTTACGATCGATCTTATCCTCTTTGGGTATCGAATGCCCCATCTTGAAGACGCGTAGAGTATCCTCATAACATCTCTGCCCCCCATGGATAGTTGTTGAAGCATTAATATCATCAACAACTTTCAAATAAAAAATGACAATCGATGTCTTTTTTTAACACTTTAGTACGCTTTCAATGATAAGCACCAAGCCCAGCTTCAATTCGTCCAACATTTGGTCGCATGCCCTGAAAATACTCGTTCAGCAGCCTCTTGTTTCTTAGAACACGGGCACTCGCTGCTTCTTCGCATGTACACTTCAGTTCAGTTATGAGAGAAAACTCAAATAAAGAGAATCTAGCTACATTGTCCCTAGATCGAAGTGGAGTGCATCGTCATCGACTAACTTAAGTAGACAATATAATAATGCATTAGGGGAGCCGCCCAGAAAATTGTATGTCTCTCAATGGATACAAAGGCCATAGATAGGAATGGCGTAGCATATCTGCGTGCTCATTATCGAGTAACTCCAATACATTCGTAAAGCTGGCAAATTTAAAGTTCGACGTAACTTTGTTGGGAATCTGTCTCATTGGAGCGTCGAGATAATACTCTATCTCAAATATTAGAACATTGTGCAAGATATAATAGAATAAAGCTTAATATCAGAAAATTAAACTAATCGAATTGTAACTACTATACGCAAAAATTAACAGATAGTGGAATAAAGGAAATAAACGTAAACAAAATAAATAAACAAAGAAAAAATAATTAATTTAAAAAGGGAAAAAAATTATGATTTTCGAAATTGCAGAGACTATAATTAAACAGCAATTACAATTATAAAACATTGAAACGAAATTAAAATTAAGAGATAAAATTAAATTTAAAAAATGGAAGTATAAAAAATCAACAAAATTAAAACTCCAAGAAAAAAATTAAATTCAAAAGAAATTCATGAAAAAAGAAATTTTAAAAAAATAGATAAATTTAATTTAATTTAATAAGAAATTATACCGTTAAAAAGGAGAAATTGAAAAGATGAATAATTAACAATTATATATTTTCAATTATAAAAAAAGAATAAAAAATAAATTTAAAAGGGTTTAAACTAAAAAAAGAAAGAAAATAAACAAAAAAATTAACCAACAATTAAATTGGCGAATAAAAAAAGAAATTGAAAAAATGCTAAAATAAAATTTCAGCTGAAAAAAAAATAAATAAAAAGGCCGGTCTCTAGTTTGAAGGTATTTTAGCTCTTTTGTAACATATTTCAATTTGCAATTTTTTTTTTTTATAAAACCGAGCAAAGGCTATTATGGAAAGATTGCCGAATCAACAGGCTATCTTCCACTATTTCCTCGACTTGTTAATCGCATGCATGACACAACCTCTTAATATTCATCATGGATGTGACTAAATTGAAAGAAATGAAATTAATGTGACTAAAATGAAATTTAAGTGAAAGTTGAGTGGCATCCTTTGTTGTATAATATACCCATTGGCCTTCACATTCTCCACAGTAATGGAGAGGATAGAGCGAATTTACCTTTGGAAGATGATAAAGTAAAATTTTCTTAAGTACGTAACTCGATAAATTTGTCGCAATAATTTACTGCTTCCCTACTTTTACTGCACACTTTACTCTGCCTGTCTGCCCTCTCAGGAGTCAGATATACGTCTTATATATCATATACACTGCTCTCTCAATATATGTGCAAGTGCTCTCTCCCCCTTTAGATATATACGAACGCATATATGTAATACAATACTGTACTCCACTAATTTCCCTTTTTCTTTCTTTTCCTTTGTTTATTCTTCTCCTTCCTAGCGAAAATCTGTTTTTTTTTTCCTGGGTTTGAAGATCTTAATTTGATGCTACATTCATGGTGAGTCTTCACAGCATAAGGGGTTGTTGTCTTTGATTACTACTTTGTTGTTCTCGAATCTTCCTGTGTTTATGATTTTACCCAATCTTGTGTAATTAAACTTTTTGTTAAACATTTCTGCTTTGGATTTTGAGAGTTGATGTGGGTATGGCGGGATATGAGAAAGGTTCAGGTTCACTTCAGCTTCCCAAAGACTCACCGGAAAACGACCACAAAGCAGAATCCGACACGGCGGGCACTACCAGTTCTGGTGGCACGCCCAACACCAACCGTCGTCCTCGCGGCCGGCCTCCTGGTTCCAAGAACAAGTCCAAGCCTCCAATAATTGTCACACGAGACAGCCCAAATGCTCTACGAGCTCATGTTCTCGAAGTTTCAGCTGGAAACGATATAGTGGAGAATTTGGCCGTTTATGCACGGCGGAGGGGAAGGGGAGTTTGTGTTCTAAGTGGTAGTGGCACTGTTGAAGATGTGACGCTCCGTCAACCCGCCGCCGCTCCTGGCGGCAGTGTGGTCACACTGCACGGACGATTCGAGATACTTTTGTTATCCGGGACGGTGCTTCCGCCACCTGCGCCGCCGAGGGCAGGTGGGCTGTCGATATTCTTGTCCGGCGGGCAGGGGCAAGTGGTTGGTGGTAGCGTGGTGGGGCCTCTAATGGCTTCCGGCCCTGTAGTGTTAATGGCTACTTCATTTGCAAATGCGGTTTTTGAACGCTTGCCATTGGAGGAAGAGGAGGGTATTGCTGCTCAGGTTCAACCAACGGCATCGCAATCTTCGGGTATCACCGCCGGTGGCGGTGGCCGGAATGGCACTGAGGGTGGCGATAACGGCGGTAGTGCAGGTTTATTGCCTCCAAATTATCCATTTCCAGCTGATTTGCAAGTGTGGGGTGGAAGACCTTCAGTTTAACCATTTCTTGGAATTTTGTGGTGTATCC